GCTTGGAAACCCCTCCAGGGATGGGGACTCCCCCCCTGCCCTGGGCAGCCTGGGCCAGGCCCTGACAACCCTTGCCAGGAAGGAATTGTTCCCCAGATCCAACCTCAGCCTCCCCTGGCACAACTTGAGGCCGGTTCCTCTTGTCCCATCCCTTGTTCCTGGGGAGCAGAGCCCGACCCCCCTGGCTCCAACCTCCTCTCAGGCAGCTGCAGAGCCAGCAGGTCTCCCCTCAGCCTCCTTTGCTCCAGGCTGGACACCCCCAGCTCCCTCAGCTGCTCCTGCTCACACTTGTGCTCCAGCCCCTTCCCCAGCTCCCTTGCCCTTCTCTGGACACGCTCCAGCCCCTCCATGTCCTCCTTGTCCCGAGGGACCCCAAACCAGTGGGAAGCTGCCCTTCCCAGCACCCACCCAGCCAAGCCCTGCTGCTCCCCCCAGTGCAGGGGGCAGGTGTGCAAGGTACCTGCAGAGTTCAGCCCCCCCACGGCGTAGATCAGCCCCGCGATGGACGTGCAGCACCGCGGGCGCGTCTTGAAGGCCGGGAGGTGCGGGCGGCGCTCGGGCATCAGGTGATAATCTTTTGCCTCATCCACCAGATCCCTGGAACCAAAGGCAAGCAGGGACAGGTTGACACCACAAAGTCTGTCTTCAGTCGGATGAAATGGCAAAGCAACAGGTTCTCCCCCAACACGGGCGATGCTTGGAGGAGACACCCTGAGTTTCTCTGAAGAATGAGAGATCTTTGCTCTCCGAGAAAGCTCCACCACCTCCTGCTGCTCTGAGGGCCACCTCCCCCCGGGGGGGTTTCTTAAGCCCCTGTCCAAGCCTCACCTGCATTTGTGGCAGCACCGGACCAGGTCGTCCTGCTGGACACGGTCAGTGAGGAACTGGGGCCTGCAGAGGGGGAGGCGGATTTTGGAGAGGAGCTCGGGGAGGAAGGACTCGCGCTGGTCCCGGTCGTACCGTGTCCAAGCCAAGGCAGCTTCAAACACCTGCCACGGGAGACATGGGGCCTGTGGGACTGGGCTTTTGTGCAAGTGCTGCCTGCTGTCTGGGGGGAAACACTGACACGTGGACAATCATCTACTCCTGATCTCAGCTGACAGTGCTTTGTAGAATCCCAGAGTGGTTTGGGTGGGAAGGGACCTGAAAGACCATCCAGCGCCCCCCCTTCATGGGCAGGGACACCTCCCACCAGCCCAGGCTGCTCCAAGCCCCATCCAACCTGCCCTTCAACACTGCCAGGGATGGGGCAGCCACAGCTTCCCTGGGCAACCTGGGCCAGGCTCTCCCCACCCTCACAGCCCAGAATTTCTCCCTCCCATCTCAGCTCCAGCTCCCTCTGCCAGCTGGAAACCCTTCCCCCTGCTCCCATCCCTCCCTGCCCTTGTCCCAAGCCCCTCCCCAGCTTTCCTGGAGCCCCTTCAGGCACTGGAAGCTGCTCTCAGGTCTCCCTGGAGCCTTCTCTTCTCCAGGCTGAACACCCCAACTCTCCCAGCCTGGCTCCAGAGCTGCTCCAGCCCTCCCAGCATCTCCGGGGCCTCCTCTGGCCTCTCTCCAACAGCTCCATGTCCTTCCTGTGCTGGGGACCCCAGAGCTGTTCCCAGCCCTGCAGGGGGGGCTCAGCAGAGCAGAGCAGAGGGGACAATCCCCTCCCTGGCCCTGCTGGTCGCACTGCAGGTGGCACAACCCAGGACACAGTTGGTTTCTGGACACTTGCACATGGTGCTGGATCATGTGGAGCTTCTCCTCACTCTTCTCCACCACCCCCAAGTCCTTCTCCTCAGGTTTGCTCTCCATCCATTCTCCACCCAGCCTGGATTTGTTCTGTGGACAGCCCTGATCCATGAGCAGAACCTTCCTTGCTCTTGGCTTTGTTGACCCACAGGGTGTCACCACAGCACCTCTGAGTGTCCTCACTGTGCCAGGACATCTCAGCTCTGTTCAGACCAGGGATGGGGTCACATCCCATCCCACTCTCAAGGAACTAGAAAGGCTCCAAGGAAAAAAAGCTGCCTCAGCTGAGGCCTCCACCAGGTACTGACCTGCTCCTCAGACTTCACGTTGAGCTCATCCCTAGAAACCAGCTCCAGGACATCTTCAAAAGGCAGGGCCAGGAACTCTTCAGACATGGAGACCTCCACGAAGTGCTGGTGGATGAAGCTGTTGGCAGCGTCGTAGAGCACAGCACACATCATGGTCTCTGCAAACTGCCTCACCCCCAGGCAGTTCTTGGGGTGCAGCCTGGGACAGGGGGTGAGGAGAGCAAAGATACAAGGTTAAGGGAAAGCCACTGGTGTGTCCTCCTCAGGGAGAGGAGCTTCCAGCTGACTGAGGAACCTCCACACCGAGGTCTGAAGGTGACTCCACAGCAGGGCCAGGGGAGTGAAAACACCTCTTAAAAGCTGTCATCACAGAATCATGGAATGGTTTGGGTTGGAAGGAACCTTCAAGATCATCCAGACCTACCCCCTGCCATGGGCAGGGACACCTCCCACCAGCCCAGGGTTGTCAGGGCCTGGCCCAGGCTGCCCAGGGCAGGGGGGGAGTCCCCATCCCTGGAGGGGTTTCCAAGCCCTGGAGATGGTGCTGAGGGACATGGGGCAGGGGTGGCCTGGGCAGGGCTGGGGGAATGATGGGACTGGATGCTCTTCAAGGATTTTTCTGACCCACACAATTCCAGGATTCCCTGATTCCCAGGGAGCTGCAGGCACCTTGAGCCCTCACCTCTCTCTTAGGAAGGTGCAACAAGCATCCTTGATGTTCTGCAGCTGCAGGAAACTCGCCCCCATCAGCAGGGACTGGACGTTCTGCTGGTCTATGGCCAGGTGACCATTGTAGGCAAAGTTGATCAGAGCCTCCAGAGCACTAAATTAGGGAGAGAAAGGGCAGAATTGATTACCAATTAAGCAAGCTGGGTGTGCTGCTCACAGGAAAACCTTCTCTAAAGCCCTTCAGGTGATGGGTGGGCTTCCCAGGTGTGCACAGGCAGTGCTGAGGACCACAGAGCCCCCGTGGTGGCTCTGGGTGCCTGGGGACCTCACCTGGGATCCATGCCCTGCATGACAATCTCCTCCTGCTTGCACTCCATCATGTCATTGGTGAACATGGCATGGAAGTAGGGGATGGAGGCTGCCAGCACGATGCGGTGGGCGCTGAATTTATGGTCCCCCACCTGCCAGGAGAGATGGGAGGGAGGGAGGGAGGTCAGCACCACCCACCACCACCCATGAGGTCCAGATGATCCACCACAGGGCAGCTCCACCAGCCCAGCAGGACCCAAGGGGCTGAAAGTTGGAGAGATCCCAGTTGCAAACCAGACAGCAGCCTGGGTTTTGGAACTGGAACTTTCTGAACCCAGTTCTCCAGCTTCCTAAGCTGCCAGGAGAGCTCCAACAGGCAAAGGCAACACTTGCAGCCCACGAGAGGGGTGGCTCCAGGCTGCTGGAACACACCAGCCAGGTCCAGGCAACCCCATCTTCACACAAACCACCTTGGCATTTAACTGCACACACAGGTTTCAAACCCAGACCTGCTTCCCCCAGCTGCCTGGGGCAGAAGATGCTCCCTCATGGTCCTGCTTCACACCCCACCAGCTCCAGCTCCTGATCCCACATCTCTTGGATCCTGGAACACCCTGAGTGCAGCCCCCAGGGCTCAGCCTCACTCCTGGACTGAAATGATTCCACAGAAGGAGAAGCTGGGCAATGTGGCCACCCCTTTCCTCTTCCCCTGGACCCAGGACCAGCTTTTCTTCTCAGCCACCACATCCCTTCAGCTCATGCTCCAGTCACCTTCCCTGTCACCTGGAGGCTGCTAGGATCATCCTGTTAAATCCCTGCAGGTTCCCTCTCACCAGCTCTGCTAGCCCTGCCTCACACTTGCACCCTCTGAAGAACCTCCCTGAGCTCCAGAGCAAGGCTTGGAAGGTGCTTCTTCCACCTCCAAATCCACTTCCTTCTGCTGGAGACACCACCCAGCATTTTATCTTCTTCTGGATCACACAGCTCTGTGCTCCCATGACTTCCCTTTTTCAGCACCCAATTTCCAGCCCAACCTGACTCACACCCACCTGAGCTGGTGCAGAACTGCCCATTTCCAACCACCCTCCCCACTTCAGCAACTTCATTTTGCTGGGACAAACCAGCTGGCACAGCAGTTCCTCTCCTCTCCAGGCCATCCAAGAAGCCTTTCTCTTCTCTGCCCTCCCCTACAAAAAAAAAACCCCAACCCTTTCATGTCTAGGCAGCTTATTAACCAAAACACTGCTTGCATTTGGGGTTTCCACAGTTCCCACCAGTGCCCTGCCTCTCCCTCCAGCCCCAGAGCCCTCACACCCAGCAAACACAACTTGCTGGGAATTTAGAAAGCAAAATCCCTGACACATTGAAAAAAAACCAACCCAGGAATTAGACACAACACAAGATGCAGAAGCAAGAGGGATTTTTTTCCCCCCCTCTCTTTTGAAACCAAAGCAGACTCAGCTGCCACTCACACTGGTTTTGTTCAGAACCAGCTTGGCCACCCTGCTGGCCGTGCCTGCCCTGCCCCAGCTTCCCAGTTTAGCACCAGAAACAGTCAGTTCAACTGTTCCCAAGGTTTGCTCCAGCCTGGCAACAACAGGGGCACTTTTGGAGAGTCTTGTCCCTGCCCTGGGCAGCTCCTGCCTGGATTACTCTGCACAAATCCCGTCCTGGATCTTGTGGAGTTCCCAGTGTCTGCAGCAAGAGCAGCCAGGGAACTGCTGTGGATTATTACAGCTCCTGGGAAAAAACACACCTCACCTGCACAGTCCCTTGGTAGCTCCAAGTGGGTAAAATAAATATAAATCAGTATCAAGCTCCTCTACTAACCCAAATCATGTGGAAAACATCCCTGAAGCTCCAAGGCTTGAGAGTGGTGCTGCAAACCCTACAAATCCCTGCCCTCTGCTGGGGGCAGAGGCAGGAACACCAGGGCTTGCCTGGGAGGTGATGGTGTTGCAGAGAAGAGAGGGAAGAAGCAGAAAAAAAGAGATAAGGAAAGCAAGAGGATGGATGGTTTATGGCAGTGAGATGGTGAGGACAAGCATGGAAGTTCAGCACAGCTCGTGCTCCCTCCACGTGCAAAACTCATCACCAGCCTCCTCGTGCACACACAGCAGGGTGGGGAATCTCTGGGAAAGGGAATCAAAGAGTTCCAGGGTCACAAAGGAGCCCAGGGTCAAAGAGGGGCCTGAGCTCCAGGCCACAAGCCCTGGGTGGGTCAGGAAGGTTTGCAGAGCAGGGTTTCCCACCTGAGCTTTGCACAGCAAACTCTGGCCTGGCCTCTCTCAACACCAGAGGTTTCAAAACACTTCTAAACACACCCAGGTGAAGGAGTAACAGCCCAGAGAAGGAAGGAGGGGATTCAAGAAGCTGACAAAGCCCCTGTGGCCATGGCTGGGGAGGGTTAATTCCTTTCCTCCCATGGCCCATGGCCAAGGTGAGCACACCAACAACCCTGCTTCTGTTCCACCTCGGTGAACAACCACGGTGCTGCTTGTGAGAGAAGCACAGGATTAAAACAGGTAGATAAGGAGACCTTGGGTGCTGGAGCTTTGTTGTTTGGGACTGGGGAAAGGTTTACACACGACCAGCTGCAGCCTGGTTAACCACAGTGACTAACTGGCTGCTCATCCCTGCCACGCTCCAGCCCCCGGAGGCTCAGAAATGCCAGACCTGCTCAGCAAGCTCCAGAGCTTCCCAGCCTCTTCCTGCCTCCTGGAGGGAGCCAGGTCACCAGGCATGGAGGGAGCCAGCCAACTAGCCATGGAAGAGACCAGCCCACCAGCCATGGAAGGCACCAGCCCACCAGCCATGCCCTCAGCAGCTGCTGCTGAGCCAGCCCAAGTAGGAACAGACACCAGCAAAGCCACCACGTGGGATTTGTTATTGCACAGAACCATGGAATGGTTTGGGATGGGAGGGACCTTAAAGCCCATCCAGTCCCCCCCCTGCCATGGGCAGGAACCCCTCCCAGCAGCCCAGGTTGCTCCAAGCCCCATCCAACCTGCCCTTCAACACCAGCAAAGCCACCACGTGGGATTTGTTACTGCACAGAACCATGGAATGGTTTGGGATGGGAGGGACCTTAAAGCCCATCCAGTCCCCCCCCTGCCATGGGCAGGAACCCCTCCCAGCAGCCCAGGTTGCTCCAAGCCCCATCCAACCTGCCCTTCAACACTGCCAGGGATGGGGCAGCCACAGCTTCCCTGGGCAACCTGGGCCAGGCTCTCCCCACCCCAGCCATGGAAGGCACCAGCCCCCCAGCCATGCCCTCAGCAGCTGCTGCTGAGCCAGCCCAAGGAGGAACAGACACCAGCAAAGCCACCACGTGGGATTTGTTACTGCACAGAACCATGGAATGGTTTGGGATGGGAGGGACCTTAAAGCCCATCCAGTCCCCCCCCTGCCATGGGCAGGAACCCCTCCCAGCAGCCCAGGTTGCTCCAAGCCCCATCCAACCTGCCCTTCAACACTGCCAGGGATGGGGCAGCCACAGCTTCCCTGGGCAACCTGGGCCAGGCTCTCCCCACCCCAGCCATGGAAGGCACCAGCCCCCCAGCCATGCCCTCAGCAGCTGCTGCTGAGCCAGCCCAAGGAGGAACAGACACCAGCAAAGCCACCACGTGGGATTTGTTACTGCACAGAACCATGGAATGGTTTGGGATGGGAGGGACCTTAAAGCCCATCCAGTCCCCCCCCTGCCATGGGCAGGAACCCCTCCCAGCAGCCCAGGTTGCTCCAAGCCCCATCCAACCTGCCCTTCAACACTGCCAGGGATGGGGCAGCCACAGCTTCCCTGGGCAACCTGGGCCAGGCTCTCCCCACCCTCACAGCCCAGAATTTCTCCCTCCCATCTCAGCTCCAGCTCCCTCTGCCAGCTGGAAACCCTTCCCCCTGCTCCCATCCCTCCCTGCCCTTGTCCCAAGCCCCTCCCCAGCTTTCCTGGCGCCCCTTCAGGCACTGGGAGCTGCTCTTAGGTCTCCCTGGAGCCTTCTCTTCTCCAGGCTGAACAATTTACCCACCTTAGCCCTGCACCTCTCGTGCATGGCATGTGATGCCCACCAGCCTGGGAGGTCTCACACAGAGCCAGCAGGAGCTGCAGGACACTCTGGTAGCTCAGGGTAGGACCTGGCCTGTCCTTGTCACCTCCCCAGCCCCTCACCAGCATGTGCAGGGTGAGATCTGAGCATTCCCAGTGTCACTTTGGAGCTGGGGTCTGACAAGTGACAGATCCCTGCTCCCAGAGGAAACCTGCAGCACAAGAACGGGCTGTTCCATGGCCAAGGGAAAGGGCTGATGAACAACAACTCCAGGCTATTTCCTGTCATGCCAGATGCATTTCTTCTTTAAAAGACTTTTTGTTTATTAGCTGAAAATATTTCAGCTAAAAGGCAGAGGGCTGCAGTGCTGGGAGCCACCAACCAGGAACACCCAGCAGGGAAACCCCTTCCCGGGTGTCTCAAACATCCCAACCACCCAGGAAAGCTCCATTTTTGCTTTCAATATTTCCCTGGTGTGAAACAAACTGAAGGAACAGGGTTTCATTTCCCTCAAATTCTGTTGTGGTTCCCAGAGGGAAGCAAGTCCAACTGCAGCCCTTGGGTTCAATGTCATCTCTTCAGCACAGGAGGTGTTTGGGTGCCTGTTCCCAGCCACGTGGAGGAGAACGTGGTTGAGTGTGGGAGAAAAAAAAGCACTTGAGTTTCCTTTCCACCCAAGCACAACTGGCCAGAAAAAAAAAAAATAATCCCAGCTATTCAGAGGTCACTTCACCTTTTTAAAAATAAAAAGGGATATTGAAATTGAACAGGCACCTGTTAAGATGCTACACCTGCTTCAAACACAGTCCTAACGAGGCTTGTTTTCTTCCACCTTGGCTCTCTGACAGATGATATGAAACCATTCTCCACTGCCTGTGTTTCCCTCCAGGAAAGGCAGAAATGGATCAAGGCAGAAGGGATTCTTCCTGCTCCAAGTCCAAATACAACTGATTTTACACTAAGAGCAGAGCTGAAGGTTTCCAGCTTCAGGAACACCTCCCTGTGGCCTCACCCCAGGAGAGGCTGCCACCAAACCACCTCGTCATAAATAATACACCTGGTTGTATTGCAAAAAGTGACTGTTTATAGTCATCCAGCAAGATTCCTG